TGGATTTAGTATTTTTTCTTAGCGGGTCGAAATTTTTATTTAAAAAAATTATTCAAATCTGTGGGTCGGCGGGTCGGTGCGTCCGCGGGACAAGTTTGACCCGCAACCCAGCTCTACTTAAGCGATCGTTTACGACATCCAATTTTAAAAGGACATATTTTTTGTAAAGTTTGTTATATTAAGAATTTTTGTTAGTATTTATATGTAAACAGAATTTATAATTATAATAATGATATGTATATGTAAGAAAGTTTAGCATTATTATAAAAACTAGAGATTTTACCGCGCTACGCGCGGTTCATTTGCTTATAAAGTTTTAAAAGATATACGTATAAATTTTTTTTGAACATATTAGAGTCATTTAAATTTCATTGAAAATACATTATTTTGTGACTAACTGTTTCTATAACTTTTAATCGCTTAAAATTTAACAACCTAATAAAATGCAATAAATGAAAAATATTTCTTTTAAAACAATTTTTTAAACACATTGATAATTTTGAAATAGAGGGAGTATAACTTAAACAACAAAATTTAAAATAAATTTTATTAGTTATGTTATATCATTGGTTTGTTTTGATTATATTTGACAAATTAGAGTGAAATGTATTGAAAGATTATAAGTTTTTTCTGTTTGAACTACCATTAATTTATAGTATATATTTTAGATGTAAACAGTGATAAATTTTATATTAAACAGTTTTTATATTTATATTATTTTTAAGAATGGTTATCTTATTTTTTACTCATGTCTTTATTCTATATTGTATTTAATATATCTTTTTTTCCTTTTGTATGTAATAATACACTAATTTTATTTTGAAAGTACGACATTGTAAAATAGAAGAGTCTTTATCTCATAAAAATATATCATAATTGTTTATCGAATCACACTATCATTATTATTTATGTTATTTGTGAACTCAAACTTTTTAATATTTTAATATAAAAAAATAAATAAATGATAAATTTGATTTTAGTTTGTGTTTTTTAATGTATAAATTATTTGTTTTAAAAGTTATTAATAATTTGTAAGTTAGTCTTTGGCCATATTTTATATTTAGTTATTTTAAAACAAATGTGGGAACAAATATTTTAAACTAATTTCAATATAAGTTTGTATAGATTTCGGTTTTACCACCAAATTTGATACAATTTTAAAATTTACCTTTAAAAAATAGGGGAAAATTCATTTTTTACCTTCTATTTGTTACTATTATTCATGTTTACCTTCTTTAAATGATCATTTTCAATATATATAAGTATGAGATTTCATTAAGGAGGTAAAATATATTTATACCTTATGTTATAAATATGTAAATATAAATAATTATTTATACAAATAAAAAGTTTAAAAAACTAATTTTATAGTTCTTGAACTATAACTTTCAAATTCATATTTTTTTATAAAAAAGTTTCATAGTTTTTCAACTTTTCGTCAGCTACTAAATATTTGTGTTTATACTTCTCTATTTAGTGTGAACAATTTAACAATTTAACAATTTAAATTAATTTTCAATTCAATTTTAATTTCAAATGTTTAATTTATACTGTAACAAATATTTATTTTCTTAAGTTTTATTTCTTTTGCATGTCCCTGGTTTTTAAAAATGTACCATCACAAATATTCTCTTTTGTGAAATAAACTAAAATATTTAATTTGCAAGTTATTTTCTTATTACACTGTTTAGTTTGTTATATTTGCAATTTGTAATTTTATAAAAAACGTGAAGACTTGGCAAAAACATAAATACATAATATCTATTTTTAACATTAACACCAATCCTATATTTTCTTCATTAATATCACTTTCTATTTTCTTCTTTTTCTTCTTCAATAAAACAAAAGCTATATTTAAATCTGTTGATTATCTGTTGTAAATCATCTAATTTTTCCCCCGACATCACGTGAAAAGAGTACGTCTTTAGTAACATGTTTTTCTATGCAAATATTTGTTTTTTCTTTATTTACAAAAACAAAAACCAATTTATATATTCTTCAGGTCATTAGAGAAACATAAAATTTACATAGAATAAAAATGTTTCCCATCAAAAAAAAAAAGAACTTGGTTATGTCTTTTGCTTCCTCAGAGATTACTCTTGTTCTCAATGCCAATTTAGAAGCCATTTCCTGCAAAGCAACAGAAATATCAGAAAAGGTTGCAGATTTGTCGATAGTTATGAGGGTACTATAAATAAAAACTAAGATGTGGTTACCAGCAGGAGCTGCTGATTCGGACTCCTTGATCGCAAGAACAACACAATCAGACATGAAGAATGTCTTACCAGTTGAAGAAGCATGCTCTAAGTCATCACCTCCCTGAGTCTGTCCAAAACCCAAGACGGTATTACAAAACTGAAACCAAGTCCAGTGTTAAACAACTTATTTGCGCAAACGGTACACCATACACGCCTTGAAGCAAGGCTAGATATCACAGTGCTGTATATAACTTATGGAAATATATAAGAAAAAATATAAGAAAAAATCTACACACAAAGCTGTATAATTTTCCTCTGGAAAAAGCTTGCTTCTTTCTCTTAAAGGCTGTTTGGATTCATTTCTTCGAGCAACATTTGCTTGGGAACTTGGGACAGAATACCACAATCAAATACACATCAAAATAACTACTTCAAAAACACTGTTTAATAAGAGTTCAAAGATAAACTAACATCGACACCAATTTAGTTAACTTTGAAATGTATTCTTGAATTAACCTGATTGGGAACCACAACCGAAGGTTCATTATCATTGCTGGATCCGTTGGCTGGAACATTTTTGCTTATATCATGCTGCTTCGATGGCTTAACAGCACCAAAGGAGCATTTTTTGTCCTTTCATGTCCTTTCAAAGAAAAGTATCAGCCACATTGTATGAGTGAGAAAACCACATCATACCTCAATCATCATACCTCAACCAAACATATTCCGAGCTCACCTCAGCACAAATCATGCATTGTATTTCTTTGCTAACTTAGAAAGAATAACCTGAGATGTGCGCCAACACGAAAGACACAGGTATCATCGCCTTTTTGAAATAGTGTATCAGACAGAAAGACCGACGATAAACTCATAAAGCTCAAGCAAAGCCGGTTTCCTGCAAGTCATCGCCTTTTTTGAAGGTAGGACTTGAGGAGGCATATAAACTCTGCAACCTGCACATACCATAAACAAAGAAAAAAAAAAGAGAGTGGTCAATATCAGAAACAATGAATGATAAGCAGTTGTTTCTCTAGAGAAAAAAAAGTGTAGCTCGAAGATTGACTCCCGTGGATCTCTCTTAAAACCTCTACACTCTCCAAGACTGTCAGACTCAAGTTTTGAAGGACGACTGAGTCTTGTCCAGCGACTCTAAACTTTGGAATTTCTTCTGCACAAACCAACACAATCAGAAAAGCACAAAATAATAACAATAAGATCAAGATGCAGAAACAATGTATTTTGTGGATGTCGTGAATCTACTGCATAGATAACAAATTTTATAAAATATTAAAAACAGGAAGAAAATAGGAAGCGGCACCTGTTCATCAAGAATTAGAAGCTTGAGTTTGGGGATCATGCATTTTCAGATGGATTGCATCGCTTAATCCGGAGACGGTATATTCCTCTATGTGATTCATCATAAACTAACTGTGAAAAATAGAAGAATCAGACAGAAAAGATACGATGATTTTACCATTGACGTGAAAATACATCGTAGCAACAGAGATGATTGGTAGATTCATCAATGGACAAGCGTTTGATGCAGCTTGACACTGATGCAGTGACCCCCAAAAACAACTTGAAACCCACCTAATGTAGTAAACACAATGCCTGTTATTGCTTCTCAACAGGATAAAACCAAATTAGATATCTAAAACGTTCTCTAGTTTGATATATAAGATTGATTTATAGTAATGGTGATAGTACAGAACAAATAAGTAAGTGAAAATGACAAACCTTGGCAATCATTTCAGCAGTTTCCTTGAAAACAACGCATGTGGAAACGCCATATTTGGCAAGAAACTCATCGATAAGTCGGATACCAATGTTGTATCCCCTGCAGAATAAACAGTGATAAATAATCAAATACTCATCAGAAAGTCAAATGCTTTATTTTTTTTTTTTTTTTTTTTTTTCATGGCGTATGAATAAAAGGAACTAACTTTTGATCAAATCTAAATTCTATGAGATATGAGAAAGCGTAGAAGAAGAAGAAGAGAATACATTTGATCAAGCTGTTTGTTGACTTCCTCAACATCTTCGAGGTCAGTAAGCAATTGACGCACGATTGCACCATAAGTCAACATGAACAACTCTGCATTCTACAAAATTTATTCAAATCCCAAGAGAATCAAAGAGTATATCTAAAACGAGAAATAGATTCTTTCAAAATCTGAACTTTTACCATGCGATCGATGCTGGAGAATATAGCATCACCGGAACGTGGACCAACCGGAGCCATGTCGGAATCTCACCCGACTACATAAGATCCATACACAAAATGCGACTCCCATCAGACGGTGACCTAGTGACTATATATTCTGAAGCTCAAACGGTGTATTAAAGGAGAAGGTGAGAATTAAGGATATAAAGATATATAGTGAAACGCCTAACCTTCTGGTTTTCTTTGCGGGCAAACTGAAACCTAAGGAAGAAGGAGGAGCAATGTATATCGTCGGCTACGGTTTGATTTTTTTTTTTTTTTAAGAGATAAATGACATGGCAATTCGGAAACAGATTATTGGTCGATTAAAAGTGCAGACGTGGACAACCTCTCAAGCCTTTATTTAGTCCTTTTAATTATAGTAGATGTTATTAATAAATTTCTTTAGGAAGTGTATAGAAAATTAATTGCATTTTAGATAAGAGATTTCACATTAACAGATTCTTTAATAATAAAGTTGGGTTGTTATCTCTCCATGGGGGGAAGTAAAACACGTGTCACCCCCCTAAAAACATTTGGGTTGTACAATTTGAAGCCCATTAAACCATTGTTTTCTCTATCGTGAGGTTTGTGCTTAGCCGGCCGATACTTTTCAGATGAGAAACGATGAAGAGCTCTGAGAAACGTTACAACGTTTCGTCTTTCGATCTCCTTTACCCCCTGTTTATACGTGATTACCCCAGTTTGAAGCATTCAATCAATTTCATCGCATCTCCATGGTAACCGACTTAAGTTCAAGTGTATAAATCCCTTTGTGCTCCAACACTGCGGAAGTTCGTTTGCTGAGGTTTAGGCCAGGAACATGAATGAAATAAAAACTCCATCACCAAACCTAACTACAAAGGTATGTTTTTTTTCCCTATCCTCTAATTATTTTATCAAAAGCATCATGAGTTTTTTCTCTGTTATGAAAAGTTCTTTGATTGAAAATAAAAAAAAATTGTGAAATCATCTCTGTTTTATCAAGTACGCAGAAGCTTGATCATGATTTCTGAAACTTCTTAAGAGTCTTTTCCATGGCTTATTACATCCCCTGACAAGAGAGGTTCTTCTAGAAAAAAACAAAGGTCACAAATGATTCTTGGAGAATCAGATAGAGTTGCGAGATTGAAGAATAATGCGGTGCTCCAAGTTATCTCATGAGTCAGCTGTTTTGTCTCCGACTCTGCAAAATGATTTTAAGCGTGTGCTAGAGTTTGCACATTGTTGATGATGCCATGAAACTCTGTATTAATCCGTGTACATAAGAAGTGAAAAGGTTTTTAGCTTTATGCGTAAATATAGAAAATTTATGATGCTGTGAGTTTATTACAAATGGTGGTTAGTCCCGCTTTGAGCAAGGCCATGGATGGTTAAATCCTCAACTCTGAGTAATTGAGCTCTCTCAGTGCATTGCTCAGGTATTAATACTTTTCTGCAAATTTACTCTTGCCCAAAACATTTAAGATTTTTTCAGGTATACTAAAGTTGTACTTTGATTGTAGGAGGTTTCTCTTAGTGCTCCTTTCTTACAACTTCCTTATTTAAATAAATCGGTCGCTAAAGGATAGCATTGCAGTTGGATCATTATGAGAGTTTCAAGAGGTGCACATGGAAGAATATTCTTAACCATCCACGGAGGTTGCTGGTTTGACGGAGAGAAATGTTGTAGACGTCGAGAAGGTGTAAGAAATGATACCTTCTCTGAAAGTAAAAGTCACTTGCAAAAAAAAAGGGGAAGAAGTTTTCTAGAAAGCGACTTTACGACAGTTCAAGTTTTGACCACTCTGAAACGTGTCAGTGGAACATTAGGCGTTATTCTTCACTCGGCTAACTTTCCTTTCCACAAAGAGAAAAGCTTATGGGTTCTTCTTGCGGATTCAAACAATATATGTTCCAGAAAGTTGCTTTCATGGACAAAGTTGAAGCTATAAGGATTGTGTCGAGTGCTATTAGTTAGACAATGAATACTTTAGGAGCAAGCGTCGAGACAAAACATAATGCAATTAGACAAGTTCTGGCTCTGTCAGAACTTCTCTAATTGCATTATGTTTTGTCTCGACGCTTGCTCCTAAAGTATTCATTGTCTAACTAATAGCACTCGACAAAATGGTTACCAATATCATTTCCATCTATATTTTCAGGTGCTGGACTATAAATAACTACCATGTCAAGACACTGCATGAACCAATAGGTGTTGCTAGAGAGATCATTCCCTAGAACTTTTCACCTCTGATATTTGCTTGGAAATCCTACTCTTGCTTGGGTAACACCATTGTCTTCAAACCCGCTGAACAAACTCTACTCACGGTTTTTTACGTTGGTAAGCTTGTGGTAACATCATTTTCAATCAATGTTCCTTTCAACATCTTCTTACCATTGTTGCTACTGAAATAAAAGCCTTAAGTAACAATGTTTCTTGAAATATATGATAGCCAGGTCTTCCCCTTGGTGTTTTGAACATAGTTTCTGGATTTGGTCCAATCGCAAGTGTGTCTTCTTTTGACGTTTGTTTCTTTTTAATCAAGAAGTGTAAGGATTTTCCAAAGCAGAGACGATAGAGTTGTTTGGTTGATTTAGAGAAGTGATTGGCACATCTTACCCTATTTTTTTTCTCTTTTGATAGATAACATATTCAATTTTGTTTTTGATTGTTGTCAGATTAATATTATTGATACTTGAGTTCATAACTAAAGTTGAGAGAGATTTACGCTCGATTACAGTTGACAGGTAAATGAAGAGATATGAAGTCTCTAGAGTCTACAAAAGATGGAGACCAACCCTCAATGTCGTTTTAGACAGCCTGTTGATCATGATACTTCAGGTGAATTTAATTTTCTCCTTTGTATCCTCTGGAAAACTTCTCTTTGAAGATATAGTGTCTCTCTAAGTCTAAGGATTAGTTAGTCAGACTCACTTAGCCAAAGTCAAGATCTCAGTCTTAGAGTTCATGGTTCACTAATTTCGTGCATCTGGATCTCCACGTTTTGGGTCAACCCACGAGTCCTGTTTTGATCGTTACTGCTGCAGTTTCTAAGTTTGGAGAGATTAGAAAGCACACAAAATCCATAAATGGAAGTAAAAGAAAGCTGGTACTTTTTGGAATTTTTGTTGCGTTCACCAACATGGCTGCGTCCCCTACTCATTCACAAAAAAAAAATTGTGCCGCATGCTCTTGGTTCTTTTTGTTCATTATACTTAAGTCTTGAGTTACTATGATTGTTTACAGGGATTTCAGACGGTGGATCAAGAGCTTCAGAAGATACATAAGGATATACTTAAGCACATGAAAGAGGCGGTTATAGCGTCAGAAGCAAAACAGCAGGTCGTGATGGAGCTTGAGGTGAAAGGGAGTGTCATTGTTGAGCTAAAACTGGAACTCGCATTGGCCGAGAAAGAACAAGCGAAACGAAGCTGATAGTGGAGGAAATGGAGCAAGGGATAGCTAACGAGTTGAGTGTTGCAGCCAAAACAGGTGGCTGAGCAACACATTTGTCAGTAGTTAAGAGCTAGGAAATGTAAGATAAGAAATTGAAATGGTCTCTAACTTATAGAAGTTAAGTCCAATATTGGGAAAGCAATTTCTGAAGTGAAAAGGTTGAAGATATCGTCGGATCATTGCAGTCTGAACTTGAAAGAGAGAAGAAAAGGTTGAAGATATCGTCGGAACATTCCAGTCTGAACTTGAAAGAGAGAAGAAATATCTCTTAGAACCCAGCATAGAGAAGCTATATCAGTTCAGAGAAACATCGAAGAAGCAAGAGAGGAGAGATGCAAATAAATAGCCAAGAAGATGCAAAAACTTAAAAAAGAATCAGAGGAGGCAAAGTCACTTGCTTTAGCTGCTCGAGAGGGGATCAGAAAGGCGAAGGAAGAGTCAGGTGAAGCAAAGACAGTCTCTGCAATAGAAAGCCAGTTCGTTGATCTGAGGCAGAAAGGGAAATAAGTGCCGTTATGGAATTAATGGACCACAGTCACTTACAATGTGGTCATTGAAGCCTTTGGGAGGAGAAGGAGACTTGAAACGACAGGAATATATTTATTTATTTATGCTTATGCAATCTGAGAAAATAATATAAAGCTGTGTTAACTACTGTCATTTTATAAGGATTTATGACATAAATGATTTTGACTTTTCAAAACTTTACAAAATAGTATGAATCTCATATTAGTTTATAAATTATTGACGAACTTTACAAATGATTTATTAACCTTTGTAAAAAAATTACAGACCTTTATTAAATGTTTATAGACTCTTATGTACAAACTATCTTCAAATAATGCATCGATAAGTCAGTCCTTCATGTTCTAAACCAAAAATACAAGATCTGTCTACTATCATAACTATTTGTATACATTCACTTTGTCAAAAAATGAGATTTCGTAATATGCACAATACCCCGAACATTATTAAACATTATAGGTGAACTAGAAACCCTACACATCCACCATAAGATAATCTCTATGATTTCAGTTACGCAATCATTTCATTTTATATAAGAATAACCACCTCACACAAATAACAACTACAATTGTAGATTTTCAAATTAATCAAAAAATAGCTACTACCAAATGTTAATAACTAAATTACACAACTATCAAATAATCTACAAAATAATTATATATTTTACATTCTTTAACACACCCGCCCGTAGGGCGGGTTAACCCCTAGTTATTTAGTAAACTTATGATTAATATAGTCTAATGTTTATGATAATATTTAAAAAGTATTATTATATAGTTAATTTTATGAAATTAATTTTACTTCTCATCAATGAAAAGCGTGAAAAACTCATGTTGGTATGGTTTGGTTATAAATGACTTATCTTTGTGATTTTAGTTAGTTTCTGTTTTTTTTTTTCAAACAAATGAAGAATTGGATTGTAAACATGTTTTTTGAAGTGAATAAATTTTACTTAAAAAAAAATTTGAAACTGTTTATGGATTTTTAATATAACTTATATACTAAATGAATGTATGATGTTAGATAAAAACATAAAAATATATGTTGAAAATTTGCTTAGGGCATCCAAAAACATTGGATTGACACTACTTGTTATATATCATCATATCCATACAAGTATACAACACTATTGTGTTGTATTCGTGACCAATTTTAGCCCTCGAGGGTTCTGGATCGACTGTTTTAAATGACTAAACAGATGTTTTTCGAATAACGAAGTTTGAATATATACAGACGGTTAGTGGAATCTTGCCTAATTGCGTGAATGCAGAGTCGGTAATGATCACCACGTAAGCCATCAAAATAGCGCCTTAAGGACATCTCCAACCATAACACCAAATTTGATGTTGAAATTACACCAAATTTGGTATTTTGGTGCTAAACATTTTTTTTCAATCTCCAACCATCACATCAAATTCTATATCAAAATAATATTATATTATTAATTTATTTGTTTTGATAATTTAATATATTTTTTATAATTGAATAATATATTTATCAAATTTCGTTTTTATATTTATTTATTAAAATTTACTAATTTCATCTTTATGTTTATTTATATATGTTATTTTTTCTTTTAGTTAATTTGTATACTTATTTTTTTATTCTATAAAATATTTATCAAAATTAAAATTTACATATTTAAAATGATTTTCTTATAATTTAATGTAATTGATAATACTCATTTAATTATTTTATTAATTAAAAATATAAATACAATAATAGTTTAAAGCTTTAGTGATGTGAAAATACAAATAATGTTGGATAAGCTTGAATCTCAAGTTTCCTTTATTTTCTCTTAGTGTTTTCCTTTTACTTATTGAAGTTGTGTTTATCGATTACTAATAGGATTAGAATTTGTTTTGTCCTATAAAAGGATACATGGTGTTTAAGTTTTCGGTGTGAGTTTTTGTGATTTGAAATTTGTGATTTGAAGTTTGGTGATTAATAAGAAGGACTTCTCTTGAATTTGTGTGATTCTATATTTGGTATCAGAGCGCAAGGGTTAAAAGGAATCTTGAAGCTTTACGATGGAAGAAATGAAGAATGAGATTGTGTTACACAAAGATGCAAGACCTGCCACTATCAAGTATCCTATGTTAACCGATACAAACTACACCGTCTGGGCCATCAGAATGAAGGTAGTTCTTAAGGTCAGAGAAGTATGGGAGACAATAGATCCATGAACCGAAGATGTGAAGAAAACAAATATGGCTATTGCACTTTTGCTTCAGTCCATACCAGAAACCCTGATATTGCGAGTCAGCAATTTAAACTCAGCTAAAGAAATCTGGAATGCAATAAAGACAATACATGTTGGAGCTGAAAGGGTAAAAGAAGCCAGGCTGCAAACCCTAATGATAAAATTTGATAAGCTAAGATGAAGGATGGAGACACCGTCAATGACTTCAGCAACAAGCTATCCGAACTTGCTTCGAAATCTGCCTCTCTTGGAGAAGTAATTGAAGAACCGAAGCTTGTGGAAAAGTTCTTAAAGAGTCTACCAAGGAAAAAATTTGTTCACATGGTTGCATCTCTTGAACATATGTTTGATCTTAATGCAATAAAATTCGATGATGTTGTGGGAAGATTAAAAGCTTTTGAAGAAAGAATTACAGAGGATGAAGATGACGCAAGTGATGGATCTGGAAAGTTGATGTATGCTAATACAAGTTCTAACCAAGAAAATTATGGTAACAGTTACAACAACAGAGGACGAGGACGCGGTAATGGTAGAACAAGCTGGAGAGGTAGAGGCCGTGGCTGCTATGGACGTTTTCAAGCACAAGAGAAGCGTATAAACAAGGAAAAGGTGTAGGAGATGCCTCGCATATCACTTGCTTCAATTGTGATAAAACTGGACACTATGCAACATATTGTCCAGATAAGATGTTGAAACTTCAAGCAACCGTCGAGCCTAATGAAAAGAAATATGATGATACACGAGAAGCTGATGCATTAATTATAAATGAAGTCGTATATTTGAATGAGAAGAATGTGAATCCGAAAACATGTGATGTTGAGATAGATACAAGACATATGTGGTATCTAGATAATGGTGCTAGTAACCACATGAGTGGAAATCGAATGTTCTTCTGTGAGCTTGATGAAACCGTTACTGGAAAGGTAATCTTTGGATACGATTCGCAGATCGATATATTCAAAAAGGTGCAATTCAATTCAATATAGGTGAAGGAAAGAGAGTTTTAAAGGATGTATACTATATACCAGCACTACGAAGCAACATAGTCTCTTTAGGCTAAGCCACGGAAGTTGGTTGTGAGGTAAAGATGAAGGACAATATGCTAAAGCTGATTGACAAATATGGAAATCTGATGATTGAGACAACGAGGTCAAAGAACCGACTATACAAGGTTACACTACAAGTACATGTTGCAGAGTGTTTACAAGCAACAACATATGACAACAACTCCCTTAGCATGCTCGGTTAGGTGATCTACCATGGTTTTGACCCACTTTTAACCATGGTATTGAGATGATTTTATATTATATATATATACATATATATATATATATGTTTTGGAGTCTATTAGGTATGTTTTCAGGTTCATGAGCATTTTGGAGTAAAGTGATGATTTAGGTGCCCTTATGTAGCTTAAAGGAGAGTTTTCCCGAGATGACTATGAAGATCAGACAACAAGGTCGATATCCAGAGATACATATCGATCGATACACATCCTTTGTAATCGATCGACGACGCTTCCGTAGAAGATGATGAATCGAGATACTCCATCGATCGATGTACGCCTTGTACCATCGATCGATATCGAGCGTGAAGAACAAGTTTAACTCAGCCGACTTGAAGCCCAAGTTCTCTCAATATTACAAGATATCCTCTGACGATTTTTTAACCTAATAGAACTCATATTTATAGTTATGCCTATGTGTTTTGGCTAGACATGCTTTTTGTGCTTTACATGCTTTCTACATGTTCTGCTTTTGAATGCTTTTTATGTTTTGAGGCTTTTTATGCTTCTTAATACTCTTAGTTCTTTGATTTATAAAAGTATTCTTTTCATCTTATTCTCATTTTCATAAGGTTATAGAGTTCTAGATTTAGAAGAACACACAAAGAGATTTGTTGTTCAAAAGAACCAAGTGTTCAATCTTCTAATCTTATGAATTTCTATTATTACCTTGATGCTATGAATCACTTAGCCATGTCTGAGTAGATTCACTTGTTAGATTTGAGGTTCAAATAGGTATGAGGGATTAGTCCCAACTATGGATTGTTGAGTTGTGATATTCATTATCCTAGTGAACTCTAATGCTTACTCTAGAATAGCTAACTAGAGTATGATCATGGAATGATTTAACTTGTTAATCATTATCCTGAAATCATCTAGTATAAGCTGAGTTCCTCTTGGGACGTGCGAGAGCCGGTCTATGATCTTGGTGAACACATATTCAATTCGATCTGAAGCTATATCGATCGATACTCCTATAGAGTAATCGATCGACGACAACCCATATGGTCCGATATTGCTGTCAAAACATTGGTCGATATACCTCATCTTAAATCGATCGATACTTACCGGCGAGACATGGTAGCGACTATTATTCTAACTACTGATGAGAATGGAGACCTGCGTGATCAAGATGGTCACCTGCGTAATGCAACAGGTCAGAAGCTGAATGCTCAGAAGAAGATCATTCCTGAGCAAGAAACTGCACCTACAGACCTCATTCAACCTGTAGAAGAGGCTAACAGAGCTAAAACTTTGGCTGACTACAACCGTCCGGATCAGTTCTATACCAACCGATCAGCCATCCGCCCTCCTGCTATCCAGAGAGAAGATTTCGAGCTCAAGCCGCAGTACTACACACTTGTAGGACAAATACTCTTCTGTGGGTTGTCCCATGAGCATCCTATGGACCATCTGGAGAGGTTCGAGGATCTCATAACTGTCATAAAAGCCAATGGAGTCCCTCAAGACTATCTTCTCTGCAAGCTTTTCAAATACTCTCTATCTGGAGAAGCTTTGCAGTGGCTGAGGCAACTACCACCAGGTTCTCTCACACCCTGGAGCGACATCAAAAACACATTCCTACGTAACTTCTTTGATGACTCACGCGCTGAAGAATGGAGGAGGAAAATTGCTACATTCACTCAGGATCCTGGAGAATCATTTAAAGATACATGGAACAGA